AATAAAGAATAGTATATACAATCTTGTTTGGATTCTTTGAGCGAAAGTTGATTAAGATTATTTTGTATCCTGCTACTAATGACACTGATTTCCACGTGTACGTTAGTGACCATTTTTCTGCATTTTAAGTGCATTAGTCTGTCGTTCGTACAAACAAACGGCATCCATCGTTTATAGTCCATATCGAAAAATGACAAAATTATCACTATATTATAATATAATAAATGAGATAAATGTGGGAGAGATATGATCTAAAAATGAGCCATATATGGTCCATAAATGAGTCATTTATGGCTCATTTTTCACGGCCTGGGTTACGGTTACGGTTAACCGTTCGACCGGCTATTCACGGTTACGGTTAACCGTTCGACCGGTTATTTACGGTTACGGTTATTTACCGTAACCGGTGCATGCCTATTTGTGATAGACACGTAACAGTTACGTGTACAATTCGGTATTATACCGAATTATAGAAGAGTGTAGTATGTTCTTTCTCATGTACGCCTCTGTGTCGTGAAAGGCGGCATAGCTTATTGTGACTATGCTCCGACAGTGTGAGTGAAAGTTTGTTGCTCAGACGTTCTAAATGCATTTTGAAAATATCTTTTAATTCGGGATATTGTGTCGTGGTGAGTTACGTGTCTATCACAAATGAGTAGATACCTATGAACAGTAGCTGACTGTGTATCAGACGTTCATTTGAAAACAGGTGTCATTAACAAACTAAATTCTTTAATAATAGAATGTTCTTAATTTTAAAGAAATTATACATTATTCATTTATTTTAGTGTAATTGTTCTTCAACTACAATTCCATCAAATGACTGTAATATTTTTCCTATTTTCACAAAAACAATCTTAAAATAAAAAAGAAACTAAACCAGAAATGGCATTGATACAATGGGTAGCGAACAGTACTGCTGATCTGAAGTCCAATATGCTGTGCTATTGCACTTTTTTTCGTTTGAGAGCATATGTATTTATTCATGTATCCATTTTCCAGCAGCACTTGTCCATTGTGTAACCTCATCTGGACGAAACCATAAATCAATTTCACGTTTAGCTGATTTCTCTGAATCGCTTCCGTGAATAACATTCCTATAAAAGAACAAAACTACTCGTTATCAGATAAACAAAGACGTTTGTATGTATCGCCTTTACCGTCCAGTTGCAATAGCAAAATCGCCACGAATTGTCCCCGGTTCAGATTTGGCTGGATCAGTTTCTCCTAACATTTTTCGACCGACAGCTATAACACCGAACCCTTCCCAAACCTACATATGCCCAAAAAATAGCTAAATTACGTTGAAAAAAGAAAAGAAGACATTAACGGCGTACCATAGCAACAACTGGACCACTTTCACTAAACGACACTAACGAATCGAAGAACTTTTTGCCTTTGTGCTCTTCATAGTGTTGTTCAAGAATTGCTCGTGTTGGCTAGAAAGAGAAAGATTTAATATATTATTATTCACTAGTCAAAGGCCGGAAGACGTCTCGTAGAAATGCGTCGTGTCTCAGTTTAACCTAAGAAGCTACTCGTTCTTCTTGGAATACAAAGGTAAAGTAAATCCGTTGGTCGATACCGTAGTAGAGGAGGTGATCAGTGCAACTTTTTATCTTGTTGGACAATTAGACAGATGCGAAGCTCTATTACTTGTTGTACATTATGAACGGGCCGGAGAGAGAATGTTCAGCGTTTTTCAAGCCAGATTTTTTAAAGTTTCATTTTTGTTTCCTTTGAAATAAATGAAGTCCTACAAAATCTACCTCACAGAATTATTTTTGAAAACAGTAGGCACCTCATTTGAGAAGACAAGTGCGCGGTTCGAGAACTAAAGTATAGCTATTGCGGGCTATACTTGAGTTTTGCAAAATACTAGGCCTTTTAGGCTGACTATATACTAAGAATAACGCGTGCTATTGTAGACTCACCAAAACCAATTTTATTGCAACAGGTTTGAATCCGCGGTGTTCGAATCGTTTGGTGATTTCTCCGACCAGGCCACGCGCAACTCCATCGGGTTTGACCAAGATGAAAGTTCGTTCATGAATATCACCCATTTTTTTGGTAAAGTTCTTTTATGATGATTACTATAACTCAGATATTCGTTCTATATGTATATACAGAGCTTTTCTGTGTTGTTTCCAATTGTTTCGTTCCGATACTGAGTTACGAATGATGTGTGTGTGGCTTTTTGTCGATATATAATATCCTGTCGCAATGATAATAGAAAAAATAGTATTTGTCTCCAGAATTGTTAGCATAAGAGGAAATCGACATCTGTTATTTATTACCGTATGGTAAAATCAGTTATAATCCGCTTCACAGAGAGTGAAAAAACAATTATTTATATGTATAACTGCGGTAATAAACATATCCTCATAGAATATAGTATTACTCTATTGTCTGGAAAATAAATTTCCGTAAAGACAAAGATCACATAAGTGGAAGTTTATGCCACACACATGGATAGAAATATCTGAATTTATGGTTTTTAGTTATGATGATGATTACGCCATGCCGTATTACTCTCATTCATCTGGCTATTATAACTACTTATCTGATGGGTATTACAATTGCCGTATTGTCGTCTACACTTCTGAGTAAATATTGCATTTCAGGTTACAAAGACCTGCTGACAATATCTGAAAGACGAAAAGAAGACAACGAGTAGCTTTTACCAAATTCTCCTGACTGTTGACGTAAAACTTGGGAGAAATCTGCTAAAAAGTCATACAGTATTAGATCTCTAGATTAGACACCGAAGTCCTGGCCCTACCCTACCCTGTTGTTTCAGGTGATCCTAGAGCCCTGGCCCTACCCTTTGAAAATTTTGAGATTTTTTCACGACAATCAGTTATTTTATTTTTTCACATAAATCATACATAAAATCACCATTTTTTAAAATTTCTTAGTAGCAAAATGTCATCAACCATTGTCGACGCTCTTCTAAAACGCGTCCGCTGGAGCGGAATATTCTTCATATATATATATATATAGAGGACTTGCATGTCCTACCTACAATATAATTCATCAAGATTTGTCAGACAAACTCCAAGTCGTACCCTGTGACTTCAGGTGACATTAGAGCCCTGGCCCTACCCTACCCTGTTGTTTCAGGTGATCTCAGAGCCCTAGCCCTACCCTACCCTGTGACTTCTAAGCCCTGGCCGTACCCTGTAAGGGCGCCCTGCACATCTCTACCGTATTGTCGTCTACACTTCTGAGTAAATATTGCATTTCAGGTTACAAAGACCTGCTGACAATATCTGAAAGACGAAAAGAATACAATGAGTAGCTTTTACCAAATTCTTCTGACTGTTGACGTAAAACTTGGGAGAAAACTGCTAAAAAGTCATACAGTATTAGATCTATAAAGCATTATGTGTTTGTATGATTAACATAGACTATAATTACTAGCGCCAATCTGGTTTCTTTTCTTTCTTGCTTTCTTTGTTTTAACTAGCAGGGTCAATGACAACAAACTATTATTGGCTTGGTGAAGAAGATAAACCATCATGTGAGAATTATCGTCGTATTAGTGCGTGTTCAACATCATCACAAGCCGTTTATGCACCTGATGCCGGAGCATGTGTTAAATGGTTAACTGATCTGAAAGAGTCTTTATGTATGGAGTTAATGAATTATTGTAGTCTGTTCATTGTAATTGACATTATTTAGTGGCATTTAAATAACGTACAAACGAAATTTATATAACATTTCGTGATACTGAAAGTTGGAAAGCGCTTTTAGCTNTGTTCATTGTAATTGACATTATTTAGTGGCATTTAAATAACGTACAAACGAAATTTATATAACATTTCGTGATACTGAAAGTTGGAAAGCGCTTTTAGCTAGTTTTAAAGCTTATGCTAAACCAAACAATGCTCAAAGTATGTAGACAAATTGAAAAAACATCAAGTCTTATGCACTTAGATCTTTATTCTGGAGAGGTTTTAGCTTTGTAGGAGGTCCAAAACGTAGGAGTTTGAAGGTTTTCAGATTGTAGAATGAAATTCAGACGTTATGAGTTACACTGCGTGAGTAAAGATGACCACCAAGGATCACGACGCAGGCGATACCGTTTATGAAGTTTAAATGTGTGACCAGACTATTATTCGAATCCAAGGCTTAACATTACATGTCTATGCTCTAACCACTGAGCTACCTGACCGAGTCTCTGTCCATCACACCCTTCGAGTTTGATTTTGATCATATAGAAAACGACCAGGTTAAATATAGCGTGATGCTGTCCTTCGAAAATCATCAAATCCATTGTAGAGTGAGCGACAGAAAGTAATTTTTACGTCCTCCACATCGGACGCCACAAAGAACACATCTTCATTTTGTATCATTTCCCCTAGAAGTATGCAAAGGCACTTTTAACTAGGTCGAAGAACTTTATTCTGCGTTTTGCGATCGTTGTGACACGAAAATTTCGGTCTCCGCTTACGGTTAAGGAACCAACCTGGCCTTGGACCAACGTCACTTATTTATTTCATACATTGATTTGTTATCAGAAGCTGTGTATGCAGTTGCATTTCTCTGATGTGTTAAATTTACTTGTATCAAATATATACCAGGGGTTATTTTATCATTAGCCGACGTAGACATACAAAGAGATTTACACTGAAGTTCACAGCATCTGAGGCAGACTGATTGCTAGCAATTTTTCAGGAACCTCTTGATTTGCAAACATTTGGTTATTTATTTATACGGCAAAAATTTCTTACAAAGTTATATAGAATATATTTTTTCATACCTTTCTCACACAAAGTAAAAAATCAACATGCCAAATCCATCAAGAGATATTATTACTTTATTATTACTGCTAGTAATCAGTGTTTTATTATATACGTTGGATGAAATCAAATTTGAAAATCAATAAATAGATTTTCCAAAATCATGTTTATTGTAATTGCTGGTAGTTATACATCATGTCTACTGGATATAAGTACACAAATATGGAGGCTACATCAATGGGGAGAAGATCAATCGATAACAGGATGTGGTATTAATTGTATTGTTAATGTCAAACGCGGGTTAGTATCTGGGAGTGGAAACGGGATGGTAAATTTCAATGTCAAGAAAGAGCACCGGGTATCGTTGGTGAAGCTACAAGAGCTAGTCAAGCGCGTGCTATAGCAAATGCGTTTTAACCAAAGCAGTAGCAGTAGGGAAACTTAAACCAGAAGATTTTAAATGTTAAACTAATAAAACCAATCACGTCTCAAACATAACTTGCAATCGTTTGTACGACATTCAATGTTCATAAGTACAAATTGTTTCTGTACTGGTCTTATATGTTTTTTATATCTTTCCTTCTATTAACATTTAGTTTTACAAACAAACTAACTTTATTTTGTGTTATTCAATAAACTTTTCTTACCTGTTTTCATCGTGTATTTAGAAAAAATCCTTTTAACTTAAATCGTATTAATTCCATGATAATTTCTAAAATAACAGAGAAGGAGAAAAAACATTTTATTGTATATAACACGCTACACTAGACTACTAAATACGATTCGACAGACGAGAACGAAAATCATATTATATCGGAGCAAAGAAAGTGGCTTTGTAAAAGAAGGGAAACAACTTATAATAAAAAAAGCATCGTCCATAGCAACCGTTCTTTGGACGTTCTCAACGTTCTTTGGACTTTCTAGCTTGTCTTATAATGTGAACGAGAAATGTTGCGTTTAGTAAATCTAAGCAAAAATGTCATCTTAATACCCTGTATGACACATATAAACCACTTAAATAAGTGCGCTCGAAAAGATAAAACTAACTATTTTCAGTTTGTAATAAATAATTGTTCACGTAGTAAATAATTTGGTCAACATCAAATAAATAAATACCGATCAGGGCCCATCACTGGACGAGGTAGTGGGAAAAAATCGTCCAGTTGACCGAAACGTCACAAAATTATGAATAAAACTGATTTTTGGAAAATCCACAACTGGACCTGATGCCGGAGCATGTGTTAAATGGTTAACTGATCTGAAAGAGTCTTTATGTATGGAGTTAATGAATTATTGTAGTCTGTTCATTGTAATTGACATTATTTAGTGGCATTTAAATAACGTACAAACGAAATTTATATAACATTTCGTGATACTGAAAGTTGGAAAGCGCTTTTAGCTAGTTTTAAAGCTTATGCTAAACCAAACGATGCTCAAAGTATGTAGACAAATAAAGCATTAAACTACTGATATAACATGATCTCAGTTCGGCGTCCTTTGTTGGTATTGCCAACTAGAAAAGTTGTTGTGACTAGCCATTCGATGTGCATCATGTTGGCTAGTTGTGCTTGGAGGGCTATAAAAGCCGATATTTGTTTAAACATGATAGACTTCTCGACGTAGCCAAACATTTCGAGGCTAACGAAAGAGCTAGAGAATTCAGGTTTTGATGAATTTGACAGTCTCGAAAACTCACTGTCGAATTTTTAGTCTATTGAAAATTTGCAGTTGAAATTGGACAGTGTCGAAACACACTGTCGAAAACTGTTGCTGCCGAAATACGGAATTACCGTTTTGATCGTCCAGAAGAAGCGACTTTGGGGCATCTTTTTATAACAGACAGTAATTCAGAACGGTTTTATAGAGTAGGTTTCTGAGAAGATCTTTGGAAACCCAGCTCATAGCTGAAAAACTTTAAGTACGAATATTTTCGTTTTTCTTGGGGGATAAATATCCCAAAGTGTCCTGTTCAAAAGTGGGAGTCTGGCTAGACCTTGACTGGCTGCGGTTCTGGCGTGGTAGGGGGCTTCTTTGGAGCCCCAGGCCTGGTATTCGAAAACTTCAGGTATTATTGAATGACATAGAACTGACGTAGTCGATCACGCTGAATCTGATGACAACTTTTGGGTTTGGATAATACTGCAGAAATCAGGTCAAAATCGAGTTTTATCAAAGTTGTAGTTTCCGTACTGTTTTCACCGGATATTAAAAAGTTCATAACTCAGTCAGAAACCATGAGAACGAGATGAAAACATCGAGATTTACGGTATTTGAACTGTTCTATATCCTACTCGAAAGAAATCTACAAAAGAAAAAAGAGTCTAAATAGAATCTTAAAATATACTGAACAATAAAAATACTCAGAATAGTAGAAATACTCATTCTAGAACACGTTACAAAATCTTTTGAATATTCTAATGAAAAAAAAATTTCCTGTATTACGGAAAAGTAATATTAATTTTATGAATATTCTTTTTCCGAGCAACAGTAATACAGGAAATATTACTGTTGGTGGGATACACAGAATGTTACTGTTACCAGCAGCAGGAATACCTTTAAGTATTACTTTCGTCGGTAATGCAGTACTTGAGTAACAGTAATATGCCACTCCTAATGCAGATATAAACTGTTTCAAGAGCTAAATAAGTGTGCTCTTTCGTTTTGAGTCAATTCTTTGATGGTAGAGAAAAGTTATATATGTTATGATGAGAGTGCAGATAAATGATGTACATATCTTATAGAGAAATCACTGATTATAAAATAAAATGTTAAATTGAATGCAATAAAAATCATCAGTTTCAGTCATATGACTTTTATTGGCACCATAAGAGTAAGTTATTCGATTCAAGGTGCCAACTATTTCTTACACTGGCATTTGTTCATAAATATTAAAAAGTATATGGTGGCAAAAATAGAAGTATGATTTTCTAAATTTCATTTATTGAAGTTAAGTTACAGTAAAGTTCTATCTTGGAAACATAGGATGCCCTTTCAAATCAGAATTACTCCGACGATTGATTCATTGTTATGAAACATCAGAAAGAGTAAAGAGCAGAGACTCAAGCTAAGTAAACATTAAAGAACTGAAACATACAAAACTAATTCAGTTTCACTAATCTAACATAGAAAAACAAATGAATAGTGAATCACATTTTATTCCATATCTTCCTCAGGGATGATCAACGAGACATGTTCAACATTTACAAGAATCACAAAACCCTACGTTGCGAGACTATTGAGGGCTGTAGTTTTCCCATTCCGATCGAGGGACAGGTTGTTGACAAGAACAATTTAGGAGCTTATTTTCCCACCCTAGATGAGAAGTGTAGTTTTCGCATTCCAACCGAGAACAGGATTCTGGGATCCCAGGATCTTCGACCCATTAGCTTAGAAGCTCATGCTTAAAAAGTTAATGTTATTGTGTTATTCACACTCACTACCCATCCCACCCCACCCGCTCTGAATGAAGGAGGGAATCGCGGAATTCTTACATCCTTGACTTCTCGAAAGAATTAAAGGATTCGAGGATTCCAGGATTGCAAAAAGCTCTCCCTCAGTCGGAATGGAAAAACTACAGCTATGAGAATATTGACCTTCGTTTATCCGGACACAGGAGCTACTTCATTTGAACAATAGTACTTGACTATAGAAAACTGTATTACAATAAACCTATGTAAATCATGTAAGGGGCTTCAGGTCCAATATGGTTTGTTCTTTTTTCGAATGAAATAAAGCTTTATCTCGCTCTCTCTCTACAGAAAAAGTTATCACAAGGAGAAACCACTAATCATTTGGATTTTCTTGGAACTCCAGGATTGGTACCTGTTGACTATTGGTAACCTCGGAAACAGATAGATTATAGGCAATCGATCATGCTAAACCACATGGCAATATTTGTTTCTGAAAAGAACTGAAAATCTGATGAAAACCAAGTTTTGA